TGCCATTCATAAGAACCAAGAACAATGCAAACCGGAGGCATTCGTGAATCCAGTTTCTCCAAGTTGAGTTGAAGCCTAATTTGTCCAAGACTGCAAGTAGAAATGACCATTCAACTCTGTCATAGGCCTTTTCCATGTCAACCTTTAGAGCCATAAACCCTTTCTTTCCTTTAGTCTTGATCTTCAAATAATGCATCAACTCATGCTCTAAAAGGACATTTTCCATAATTTGCTGTTCACGAATGAAAGCATTCTGTCATTCCGAAATGATTTGCTGGAGGAACACAACAAGTCGCTCAGACATGATTTTAGTAATGATTTTATATATAAATTGGCATAAGCTAATCGGTCTATATTATCCACCTTTGGGATAAGAGTCAACCAAGTATGATTAAAACTATGGAGTAGGCGACTTGTGGTAAAGAAATAACACACTGCGTCCGTGACGGATCCACTAACAATATCCCAGAAAGCCTTGAAGAATTTCCCAGCAAATCCATCCGACCTTGGGGCTTGTTTAGATCCCATAGAGAAGACCGTGATATGAACTTCACAAGGAAGTACTTCACTTGTAAGGGAAGCATTCATCTCGGCAGTAACTCTTCGGTCTATTGGAAGGTCAGCGACCCTTGCGCCCATGTTCAAAACTTGATTTTCAGAGATAAACAGAGTTTGATAAAAATCAATGGCAATATCAGCCTTCCCTTTTTCCTCAGTGACCCATTCTCCACTATCATGACGAAGCCCCGCCACAAAGTTTCGTTTGCGACGAGTCTTCGTCAGAGTGTGAAAGAACGAGGTATTCTTATCACCCTTCTTAAGACATTGAACTCTAGACTTCTGTTGCCAATAAATTTCCTCCGCCTCCCATTGCTTGTTCAATTCAGTCTCAAGAACCTGCACCTCATCCCAATTGATTGGGTATACGGACTTAAGTTGTTCAATTTTCAATTGGAGGGTCTTGATATTTCGGAGAGAATTCATAGTACCCGCCCGACTCCAATCATGTAGTAAGTGACATAGCTTCTTCATTCTCTCCCAAAGTTGAAACATAGGAGATCCATGAATTTCCTCTTGCCAAACGTAAATTCACCATCGCCCTAACCTCAGGATTATCCACCCATCGAGCATCAAACCTAAAGAGGGGGCGGCTATTCCTAGCATATGGTTTATCAGAAAGAAGCAACGCTCGATGATTTTAACCCTGATTAGTGAAATGCTTGACTAAAGTATCAGGGTATTGGTCAATCCAACTCTGGGAACAAAGGGCCCTGTCCAGTCTTTCACGGAAACATGCAACACCCATTCTCTTATTAGTCCAGGTGAATTGATCACCCTGATACCCAGGATCGTGGAGGCCTAATTCACGAGTGAAATTATGAAGATCAATCAACTGGCCGCATTCCATGGATTTCCACCATCCTTTTCATTGGCAGAAAGGGTCGCATTGAAGTCCCGATTACCACAAAAGGAAATTGAATGTCATCACAAATATGACGAAGTTGAGCCAATTGGGTGGCTCTTATTGCAACCGAACAACTGATATAAACACAAGCCAACACATAAGAAAAAATCACCTTCATTAATCCGAACACAAATGACGAAATTGGAATGAAAAAACACGAAGCATCAACTCCGGGGGACCAAGCTACAACTAACCCTCCCGATGCATTAATAGAATAAAAAAAAAACAATGAGAAATATCAAATCTCAAACCTCGCATTATACGAGAGACTACTCGCCGGCTAGATCTTGTTTTCGAAAAGAAGACAAGCTCCGGATTATGCGAATGCACCAAACCTACAACTGTTTGGAATGTGAGTGATGTTCCGATTCCCCTCGCATTCCATGCAACAAGCCTCATTTATCCCGACGGGGCCATTCTAGGCTGGCTTCCTTCACCTTATCTTCATCAATCTTTTCTTCGACAAATTGCTTCTTTGGTGTGGGCACCTCTATCTCGACCCCATCAATCTCGTGCAGTGGTCGTTTCCTACCACCAATCCCAGGCTCGAGTATGTTAGAACCATACTCATTCAAATTCACCACCATGTTAGTCTCTTGATGACCACCACCACTCCGTTTGTCGCCAGCATCTTGGTTAATTACCATTTCGGCTTCAAAAGCCTTAACCATCTGACGAACCTGTCATGTGTGGAATTTTTGAGCAGCGCCTCTCCCAGCCTTGATCGCACACCTTTTTAATTGAAAGACAAGTGCTTCTTCCTCTGAAATAGTATCATCAGAATCCACCACATTCTGGACATCGCGACAAAGAGCAGGCCTTGTCACCACAGGGGGAGAGAGTCTATCCTCCAAATCCTCCAGGGGAATCACATCCTCGAAGGCCAACTCAGGATCCACCTTAGGGCTCGCCTTCAATATAACAAAATCTAGTTGATAATCATCAACCTTGGCCTTCCCCAACTTAATCGCAGTACACCGCCCAACATATTTACTCGCATCCAGCTTCTTTGGAGGCTCATTAAACCCCTTCTTGTAGCATCGTTGTTTAGGAACCGTGACAAGGCTAGCTGCACCGCGGGAGAGCGCTCCCCATGCTAGAAATCTTTCTTCCTCAAAGGACCCCTTCGACTAGACTTCAAGATGTTTTTAGTTGGTGGACTGACCGTGTCTTCAATATTTTCAGTATCACCAAGGTCCATTGCATGCATGGAACGCATGGGTGCACCAAAAAAGGCTCGTCCTCCGAATCTTCAACCAGAACCAAACGTCGCGATGCTGCTACTCGAGGGAGACCCTAATCGAAGAATTTAAGTTGTCAGAATCTTGCTCCCCATGCCTATCTCCAAACCCTTGGTTCCTATCAACACCACCAGGCAGCTCCATTTCATTTTTCCTAGCAACCGGAACCTACCGATCCCCACGAAGAGCTCAAGCAGTCTTGGAGCTTGCTTCCCATTCCTTTAGTCCAGAAGCTGGACGCACATGGGGGGGGGGGGGGTATTTTTCACCTTGGGCGACTTGGAGATAAGTAAGCCACGAGGGCTCCTCCCCCTAGGATTATGCATTTTCGAGCCAGTTGGGGAGGGAGGATGACGACCCACCGGGAAGCCGCGGTGATTTACGCGTGGATGAACAGGAAGAACATCCAAAGAGGAATTCACCCCACCTCTTGTCTCCCCCTTTGCTCCTTTGGATCACGAGCCTCTAAAAAATTTTGGTTGATCCACACCGATCTAGGTGGACCATTGAATTGTTGGTGGTCATCCTCCTCTTCAAGACTCGTGTCCCCAGCTTTTTTGTAGACATGTGGGGCCCGAAAACATTCCTTACGGGAAGGAGGATCAAACGCAAACGCCCGCCCGGAGTACCCACCCTTCCACAGTGAAAACAAAAGCTAGGCAAGTGTTCATATTTGAGGCTAACCCAGAAACAACCTGTATCATCACTTGTCGCCATCAGTTGAGATCGGAGCGGCTTAGTAAAGTCGATAAGGGCCCTGAACTTCACAAAATAGCGACACGTGTCCTGGCAACTGTACACACCAGCTTCTAGAACCTTCCCAATAGTGGCATTCACCACTTTCCGCCCAAATTGCTTTGTACAGCAGTCTTCCTTCACATCCCAGAGTTGTACCCGGAATGGTGCTATAGCGAGATCCTCGAATGTACGGCGCGAGATGACAAGAGACCACGCACACAGATGCAGGATCTTGTTTGTGATCACCCAGGGAGTTCGCTTCAAGACCCAGCCTCGCAACTCCTCACTTGGAAGCACAAACTCAAATAGTCCATGCTTCGTTATAAATACTTTGATTCGACCTTTTCCTTGCCATGGCACATTCAGCGACTCCCTTAGCTCCATCGTCGTGACATGATTATTTGTGAATAAGCGGCGAGGAGGGTATGGGTACGACGAAATTTAGTCGATTGAACTTGCTCAAGTGAGAATTGCACAACATGATCTTCCGTCATATGTGCCATCGTGATTTCCTACAAGGGATTAGAGGCACAAGAAGAATTAAGGATCCGCTCACAGTCTTTGTTTGCTGATAAGCTGGCTACTGCCGATGGCTTCCCAGAAACCCAACGAAAGACGTGGGAGCCTCGCAAGGAAGAGAAAGCAGACAGGGAAGCACAAAGGTTAATTGAGGTAATTGAGTGAAAATCACATGAATGAGAGAGTAGAAAATTGCAAATCTCATAAGTGAATTCATATTGTAACGACATAGGTTTTCGTAGGGTTTAACTTCTTTGCATCATTGCATATGTTAAAATGTTGAAAAAATTCTAATGACATAGGTTATTGTTAATTTTTTTTAATAGAATAATTTATATTCTATAAGTTACCAACAAAGAGGTATTTTTAATTCATACAATTACTATTGTTGTTTTAACAATTGTGAAATGTATCCGGCCAACGGGCGAGTTTCAATCTAGTTTAAGTCTATATCAGTTCTACCGATTAATTGAAACACAGATTAGGCTTTACACACGCTTGATGTTATAAAAATAGAATTTAAAAAATTATCGTATTGATTAGTTGATTTCAATTTTAATTTGGGACTCCCATATCACATGCTCGAATTCTAGTAATAAAAGTTAATGCCTTTGCGAACTGTTTGTATTGGCCAGGAAATGAAATTTTGTTGTCATTGTGGTTGTTTTCTGCTTGAGCCACCACCGCTCTGTCGCACTAGCAGACGTTTGAAGTTCCTTGCTAGAACAATTGTAGTGCGAGAAACCTGCTTCTGCAATTGGCCTTCCCTAACAAGACCATCAAGAGCACCCTCCCAAAGCCAACTTCACCATCGTCATTGTCTGCAGAAAATGTCTGTTGTACTTGGTGGCCATATGAGCACATGGCAAGCACATACACTGAATTCACAAGCAAGTTAAGGATACAGAAACAACTGATTCCACGTACGAAACACATGGCCATTTCCAATCTCGCTTGCACGTTATGAATAATGCACCATAGCAACAGTCTATAGACAGTTGTAGAAACAGGTTCTATACATGTATAATTTGTGATTTATCCATCCCGTATATGAATCAATGTAGTGACAAATATATACGACTTCATCACGGACGGTTGAATGCAAAAAGTGCAACCACACTACAGAAACCGCCCACAAAATCCAGAGCTATGCTGCCAGAGAACCAATGCAATTCATGCTCTTCATCATTTCCTTCTCCATCCATTAAACCGAGCACTCTGCTGCTGTCATTGCTGCAGTCCGCATTCAACGGAGGCCTGCAAAGTTGTTGGTTGCCAGTGAAGCTAAATGAATCAAAACTCAGCAGTTGAGTTCTTGAAGGAATTTTACCACCCAAGTTGTGTACGACAAGTTCAAGTAATTGAAGAATGTGAGACTTCCGAGGCTTGAAGGGATTGATCTGGATAGCTGGTTCATTGATAGATCCATTGATTCGAGAGATAGCATCGCGGTTAGGTCCTGTGGAATTGCGCCAGACAATGAATTATGCGACAAGTTGAGATATTTAAGGGCTGCCTGGTTTATGATCTGTTTTGGAAGCTCTCCTGACAAGTTAATCCAGGAGATGTTCAGACTTACGACATTGTTCAGTATGGTGCTGCAATCCAACAACTGCCCTTTCCTCACTAGAATCTGAGTATCCAAATATGATTTCCCCAGACCACCAAAGGGCCAACTGATGTCTGAAGTATCATTGTTTGGGGTAGCCAAGGAACTGAGATTAGCAACACATCCTGGCAAGGTACCAGAGCGAGTTGTGAGAAAGATCCAAGATCCGTAAAGGTTGCAGGTTGCAGATCTACTTAGGTACACTGCCATGAAGCTTATTCCCACGCAAACTAAGAATGGACAAACTTGAAAGGCTTTGTCCCATCCATTCTATCTTAGCTTCCAATTCAGTATCACCCAAGTCAACTGCATTTAACCTGGAACATTTTTGGAGGGATGGAGGAATTGCACCAGACAACCTATTGTTCTAAAGGTGCAAAGACTTGAGAGAGCTTACATATCCAAGGGACTTTGGAATCTTGTAGTGGAACTTATTTCCACCAAGCCTTATACTCGACAACTTCTTCCAAGTCTTCCAACAATCTGGGATCTCGCCAGTCAAACTATTACCATACAGGCTCAGAAATTATGTAGACCTCATTTAATGGGTGTTGAAACACAAAAACTTGAACAAGTTCCCAGAAAACAAGTTGTTGGAAAGGTCCAGATATGATAAGTTGGATGAGATAGTAGGCAACGGACCTTCCAGGCAATCGAAGCTGAAATCAAACAATGATGTCAGACAAACAACATGAATGACATGGAAGTCTTCAAGAGATTTGGTTGCGAGAGAAATTCAAATAGTATAACTGAGACAATATGCTACAGAACCAACCAGGAATGGGTTCCGAAATTCCAGAATTAGATAGATCAAGATACTTAAGTTGCTACAAACTTCGGAACCAATTGGGGAACTCGGGTCCAACATACCAGGATTCTAGGTCTAATACTTGAAGTAGCTTGGAAGGATCCCAATCTGGTTTAACTTTCAACACCATATGGTTTCCAGATGCATAAAAGCAAGCCAACTTTTTGAGGTTGGCAAAATGAATGTCAGGGTAAACAACACCATGCAATGAGTTCTGAGAGATATCCACATAATGCAGTTGTGCAAGAGCCCCAAAATTTGTTGGAATAGCCCTGTTGATACTATTTCTTGCAAGGTCTACATAATTCAAAGATTTCTTTTCTCGAATGCCATTGGAAGTGAACCAGCACTGGAATTGTTTGCAAGGATGAGACTGTAAAGTCTCTTGAAATTTCCAATCCGATCGGTCAACTGACCTGACAGTTGGCAACTATACAGCAATTCCTGTAAGGAATTAGCACAATCTCCAAAGATTTCAAGCAACTCTGATATAGTTTGATGCAGTTTTACATGTTCCAGAGCAAGGCAATAGCTTTTGAACGACTCTAGAGACCCCACTCCCTAATTCAAGGCCACGATTGAATGACATGTCAAGGCGAACAAGAGAAGACAAGTTTCCAATTGCATCATTTAAGATTTTACCATCCAACTCATTGCGGTATAGATGGAGTTTCTCAAGATGACTTAACCTATAGAATTAGTTTGATACTGAATGATTGAATCGATTGAAATGCAAGCGAATTATCCTCATTGAAGTAAGGTTTTGAAGTCGGTTAGGAATTGGTCCACCAAAGGAGTTGAATCCTAGATTCAAGTAAGTAAGACTCTGAAGATGAAAAATCCAACTAGGAACTGAAGTTTGACCAAATTGATTGTGATACAAATTAAGAGCAGACAAAGAAGAAAGGTAAAATTCTTGAGGGGAGGGCTATGGCGGATTGGACAGTTTGGAAGGTATAATGCTGAAAGATATTGGATTGTGTTGATCATGTTCAACCAGTCAGAAGCATTGCTAAGATCGACTTCACTCAAATCAAAGTATCTTAGTGAAGACATACCAGAAAGCCACTTCAAACTATCAGTATATAACTCATAATCTCCAGCAGCCCGCAGGCTAGTCGCTGCAGATTTGAGAGGCTTCCCAGTTGATGAGGGATTACTCCTCCAAATCTAGCTCCATCTAGGTAAAGGTGCTTTAAACTACTCATAGAGCCACGAAAACTTGGAACAGAAATCCCTTGAAAATTATTGTTGACATGTCTAAATAGCTAAGATACTTCAACTGAAGTAATGAGGGATTTAGCTTACCACTAAACATAGAATCGTGCCAAGAAGAAGGCCATCCGAGATGAAGCTCAGTGACATGGTCAGTAAATTTATCACAGACGACTCCAAACCATGTACAACAATCCTTTTGTCCAACCCAAGATGACAGAAAGCTTGAAGGGTCTTCAAGATCACCCTTGAACTTCAAAAATGTTTCTCTTTCATCCAGACTACAGCCTTCACAAGAAACCACAAGGCAAAAGCACATGCAGAACAGAAAAGCTGCAACAATAGTCATTGAGTTAAGGGCCAGTAGTTGCAAAAGGCTCAACCTCAACAAGTATATACCATATACAAGGGTTGCTAGTAAGGGAATGCAGTTTATCTTTACCTCCTTCCAAGCTACATCTATCCCACTTTCCTGGAACTCTCCAATGGAGAATTCTCCTGAGTTCCCAATATAATATGTCACACTATTCAATCAAATTATTGAATTTAGCTAAGAGACAAAGTATCAGCTTCTGGCTCCAGTCTATTAATCATAAAATATATCTATCATTTTGTCTGGTTAAGGCTAGACTGGCACTATATTCATCTCCTTTATGTAGCACGTAATATCAAAAGGATGAGGCAAGACAACTTTCATAACAACAAGAGATTTCCTTTCTTAGTTCATTAGTCTTCAACTTTAAATTTGTACAACAGAGCTAGTACCTGCTTCCATATTTCCATTGATTCAAACTTATGCATTAATTGTAGCAATGTTGAACCAACTTACTCATTACCTCACAAATTGTCTGATGGTGGAAACTTTTGACAAGGTCAGGGGATCAGCCGCAACTTGACAGGAACTCTACCGCAACCCAATTAAGTCAGCCAAGAAAACAGAAGCCACCTCACAAATGACAAAAGTGGAAATTGAAGAAACCTAAATGTCACCCAAATTCCAGTCATAAGGCTTGTAAGATACCCTTGCCAAACCACGCAAAGTAAGGTACCCTACTTCTAGATCTGACGGTGTAGAACACTCTGCTGCAGCAAACCAAACAGAACGCCACCTGCAAAAGATGGTCATGGATGACGTTTGAAGAAAATCCATTAAACTATTGATAAGCTTATTTTCCGAGTTTTGGCAGCGAGGGATTGAGATCCAGCAATAAGCATGGAAAGCATAACTCATATTCTTGCTCGATTCTAGAATTGCGACATTTCTACAAACAGATAGCGGACGACCTAGTTCAAGAAACACATTGAGTCATCCTAAAGCTACAGCCACATACGCAGAAAAAGCTATAGCACCAGTGGAAACTCTGCCACTAATTCAAAATTCCTCCTTTCAGCAGCAGCCGAAGGAAATCGAAAAATCTGAGAACGTGAAGGGACAATTGTAAAGCAACTGGAATACTCTTCACGAATTGGAAAGAATCGGAATGGAGGCCATCAATGAAGCGGCCAAAATCCAAGCCCCACAGAATGTGAAGGGATAAAAGGGAAGTGAGTTCTCTCTTTAGAGAAAAAGGAAAGGAAAAGGGAAAAGAAGCCAAGGCTGGGGACCAAAAGGTATGCGCGACGGAGCATCTGGCTCCTTGAGTGACAGTGATAGGCCATCTGTGCCGTCCACGACCCAGAAATCCAGTTGTTCTGGCCGTGGAAAGTCAATGTCCTGGCCTGGGACCACCACTAACGAATTTTTCGCATGAAGGGAACCTACAAAAAGAGTATGGTTGTTTCCAAAGTTAAACCATTCTTGTGGAGAGAGCGAGACAGGGAGAGACTAGAGAGAGAAGGTTGGCGGCCAATGTCGTCGATTGGAGGGAGGCAGTGACCCTGCCTCCACATTATATGAACAAACAAAGACTAATTCTGCATTAAAGATAAATGGGCAGCACTATAAGGAAGCAACTGAGGGAACCTTGAAAAGCACGCAAGAAGACACAGTAACTCACATGGCCAAAAGTGGAACCTTGTGCACATATCATATGAACTCAAGTGAGCTCTAAGATACCCATCAACAGACCTATCGACGACTGTCATAATCATTTTCGTGATAGTCGCCAAGCAGCGCATACCTTCTCAAGAGAGCTTGAACTTTGAGATCAAGGGTACAGTGAATTCTTCTCATCAAACTTTTCAACACCAAAAGTTTCAGAAGCAGAAAGTTGGTTGCTCTTTCTACAGGTCCAACCAGATTCCCGGCATAGAACTTCCACACGATAATACTGTTAATATGTGAATGCTTTAGAGGTGGACTGCATTATAATTGATTGCAGTCCAAAGTACACATCTGACCACCACATCACTTTAACCTGAACAACTGAAGTAGCATACTAAGTTCTGAAATACTTCATAGAAGCCCAAGTGAGAATATAATGATCAACCATACCCAGTGCTAAACTAAGCTTTTGTAAACTAAAACCAATTGAATGCAGCACATAAAATTCGTGCAACAATCGCACAGCCAATATGGATTGAGCAGAAGGGACAGTCAGATGGAGCAGAAAGTGCTCTGACAAACTTGAAATAAGAATGAGTCGTCAACATTGAGGCTAGATATTAAGAATTGGCAAAACATTCAATCTCAAACAAACACTTGCCTATTGATTTGCATAACTGATACAGCATCACAATTAGCTTCCACATACATCCTGATTGCTCTAGAAAACAAGAGGAATGAACTTGTACCGAACTTTATTCATGTACTGCAGATAACTCTCCCCAAAATTCTCAATCATAAGACCCTCCTCCATTTTAGCCTTCTTCTCATAATACGTCAAAGATACTGCTACAATGAACACCAAGCTCAAAGGAGCACGCAGGGCAACAAAATAAGCTGCAAATAGAAGCATCGTAGACGAGTACATAGGATGCCTGACCCATCTATATGGCCCGAATTGCACAACAGAAGTTGGAACCACCACCTTCTCGGAGTACTTGGCAAGGTAAAAGGTTGAGTTGTACTGCATCAGTGAAGTCACAACTATGAGTATCCAAATCCATACATTGCTCCACCCACCGGGAACAAGATGCAGCTCTGGCCCTTCGAAAGCTGCAAGCCAATGACCAATCATGACTCCAACGCAGAACAAAGCCCGAGACCAATTAGGAGGGTTCACATCCCACTTTGGGTCATGTGGGCGACCGTAATAATCTCCATACAGACGTTTCCTAACACTCACGTTGAAGAAAAAGAAGTAGTGGTACACAAGGAAGAATACGATGGGCCACCCCTCAAGGAAACCATTAAAATGGGCAGGAGGCACAAGAGTGAGCCAGGCGAAGACGCTAGTAACAATGGCCAGCTGCTGGAGAATGCTGGCTTCGCCCTTGGCATGCCTATAGAAGCAGTATAATCCGTAACCCGCTAACGAAACAGCCACCATCCATGGCCAGAACATCCAAGTCATGCTAAAGAAGGACCAAAAGAAGGGACTGAACAGCACATTCGAAGTCCATTTAGCGGCAGAAATCAGAGCGGCCAAGATAACAAACCACTTAACAGCTCGAACAGGGCTTACTTCAAAGACTGCTCTCTTCAATTTCTCGAAGGACAAGTCCTTGTAGGGTCCGAGCAGTGGTTGGGCCAGCGAAGAGTCGGGACTTGTATAGCCGGAGTACGAACATTTGGCAGGAGAAACCAAATGGGTCCTCGTTATTTTCAGCAAAGGCACCCACTGCTTTACTGAAAATGAAGAACGCAGCGGGGAACCGAGCGGCTTCGAGTCGCGACGAAAGCCAGAGCTTGTGCTAGACTTCCGAGACGCCAGGTGTTTGTTGAAATGCCCCAATGAGACATTTCTGTTTCCTGCAGCTGAATTGCTTCGTAAACTAAAACCAAGTGAGCTGGAGTGCGAACTGAGGAGCACTGACGTCGTGGCATCCATCGATCAAGGTGAAGAAGGAAACTGAGATTTCCGTTGCGGTGGCGGAATTCCTCTACTGAGAATCAGACAGGGTCGAACATCGGAGTCGCCAAGTTATCATCGCCAACAAACCAACCTGATTTCCCCCATCCCCATCCCGGCAGTAGTTGCCACTAGCTAAGTAGCTAGCTTACATTTGAGTTATGGGCCCAATTGTTGGCCTAACCTAATAACCAAGTGGCCCATTAAAAGCCCACGGCTCTGCTCTTGGCAAGACATAACACGCTGGTGGCCGGCGGGCGGAAGAGGGGTTGGATGCACAGAGACGCACTAAAACCTTTCCTAGGCACAGAACCCAAATTTGCAGAATCGATCATCGGCCATGGCTCTATGGAGAGCTCGAGCGGCTTCGTCTTCTCTCTTCAATAGGCTTCTCCAACCTCTGAATCGCTCCTCTGCCGTATTTGACGGTAGCAGCACTCTTTGCCGCAGTTTCTCCGTTGCCACCGGTACGCGCGTCTCTGAATGCAACTTCGTAGTCGATTGCTTTCCTTCTTTAGTTGTTCTGTGAATTAGTTGTGAGGAATCCGAACTACGTTATTGAACTGGAAGGTTTTGTCTCTAGTTATTGCTGGGATTCGAGGAATTCAGTGTTCATACTTGGTGTGATTTTGAGCCTTCGAACTATCTTTGACTGCGTTGTAGTTAGAAGTTCAATGTGAGATATGGAGACCTAAACCGTACATTCGCCTTTCCTAGAAATGCAGACTGATTCTTGTTCACCATTTCTTACTAAGACCTGGAAAGGAAGCCTTCAATGGTGCTCGGAATCTTAAGTGGCAATGTCTTAGTGAACAGTGTTGCAAGGACTCAACGACTTTACAAAATGGTAGAGTGGAACACTCGGTGCAGCAGGAACCTAGATAGGCAGTCATTACAATCTCCTACCCGCTTTATGGAACTTGATACAAATTTCTTTTCTTCTGTCTGTGTTTGTAAAAAGGAAAAGATGCAGCTGCTGATGCTAATTTATTGAGGGAGACGATGAAGAGAGAGCTCCTTCATCTCGACATCAACTCCCAGACTGGAAGCAACATGCCGCTTGCTTCAATGCGAATTGGTACCATAATCCACAACATTGAGATGCGGCCGGGCCAAGGTGGGAAGCTGGTTCGAGCTGCAGGGACGAGTGCCAAAATCATGAAGGAGCCAACAGCCGAAATTTGTGTGATAAAACTTCCTTCTGGTGCTGAGAAGATCATCGATGCTCGATGCAGGGCGACGGTTGGGGTGGTGTCCAATGCCAGCCATGGGGCGAAGAAGCTTACAAAGGCAGGGCACAGCAGGTGGTTAGGGAGAAGGCCAGTTGTTCGAGGAGTGGCTATGAATCCGGTGGATCATCCCCACGGCGGTGGAGAAGGTAGGAGCAAAAGTAGTGGCTCTTTCGGTAGAGTGTCGCAGACTCCATGGGGTAAGCCGACTAAATCTGGGTATAAGACTGGTCCACTCAAGCGCAAAAAGTAGATCAGGTTACATACTTGTTGCACTGGTTTCAGCTACGCATTTTTGTGCTGAAGTTATGTTTACTTGAAATATGGATGAGTAGCTAGGCTTTTGACTCTGGTTGCATCAGAATTTGAGGTGTACTGTTATATTTCAACTTCACTGAAATCTACTGGATCTGAAATCCTTGTTGATCTCTAATAACTTACCATTGTGATGAATTAGAATAAGAGGAAGGTTGGCCAACTGCTATGTTGATTGATTACCTAGCCTTTCCCAAGGGAAGGTTAGTGATGATATTTCACCTTGTGGTTTTGGAAGTAAGGCGTTAGCTTTCTGGCGGTGCTTATTATAACTAGGGATGATGTCTAGTAATGTGTCTCAACATTCAACAATGTTTTGGTTTTACTCAAATAATAAATTACTTCTTCTGTTTTGGTTGGATCTTATTCGAGTTCAAATTATATCTTTTAATGGATCATGTCAAAAGACGAATTGTGAGGTTTAAAGAGAGCTTGGGAGCATTCAAGGTCCATTGGAACTTCGAGCATCTTACAGTTTTCTGTAGAGAGCACAGGGTTTCCTTAGCGATCTTAGGTGACTTCATGCTAATAACTGGTTTATCTATTTGGGGTCTGCCTCGATCTGCCTATGAGTGATGTTGTTGCTCATGAACTTTCTAATGGAGACCACAAAGAGGGAGTTGAGGGGTTTAAACTTTATTGCGCCTAAGGGTCCCGAAGGTTTCCTTTGGGTCTTTCAAATGATTATTTGCTTCTTTGCAAAGTGTATGGTTCTTTATGTTGGAGTTGGAATCCTTGTAGTAGAAGATTGGAGTTAGTATGAAGAAGTTTAAAATTGAGTGTTTATGTTTAAAATCAAAACTGTGTCATTGGAAAAGTTTATGTAGGGGTCGTTTGGAGGTTGAGATTTGAAGTGAGGTATTTAGCAAATACATGTAATGATAAGATTAAGTCGTTTTTTTGTTCACTTTGAGTTAGAATGCATGCATTATCTTTTTGTTGGGCCCACCTACAATCACTCAAAATGAATGATTATAAATCTCTACTAAAAGGTGAGATTGTTAATGAGGGATTGTTTACCCTACTTTTTGTTTCAACATTGCTCTTCCAAACAAAGTATTTTCCTAATACATGCATTGAATCAATACATCAAATGATAACACACTAATTGACCTAATACATCAATTTGAAGAATCACAATTTCCAAACGACCCCGTAGTCCCTTTGGGGTCGTTTGAATCAATGATTTTAATATGAGAGATTTATGAGAGATTTTGATCCAAATCACTCACTTAAAAACCCAGGAATTTTAAATGAGTTATTTGAACCAATTCATTTGTTTGTTTAAACATGAGGAATTTGTACCCCAATTGTAGGTCAAAGTCTAATTTGACCTCATCCCCTTCCTCTCCCTCCTTCGATGCAAAGGTAAAAACCAACTGACAGATCGGCCAAATACGACGACCTAGCTAAACCAGCGACCTTGCAACCCAGAACTCTTATTCTTCTACCTCGTCTGCAGAACTCTGACGTTGATTCCCTTATCCCCTGTGAAACCCAGAAACAAACGAATACACCTTAAATTCCCAAGCCAGTTTTGAAGAGAGATTGAAACCTGCCTGCCACCATTCACCATCCTTCGCTTCTGCAATTCACTGCGACAGCAACAACAACAGCATGGAAACAGCGAGAACATGCCGCAATCGCAAACCCAGACTCCACCACCGCCAAATCGATCTCTAGTTGCGATTTCCATATTTGATCAAAATCGAACCCGTCCTTCACGGAGCCAGAGCGTCGGCGCAAGTAGTCAATCAATGGCAGAACTTAGAGCCCGCCGGCACTTCTGACGAGGTGAGAATTCGATGCCCGGCGGTCCTCCTCCACCTTCACTCGTAATCTCCGACGGCGATACTTGCCGATGAGCATGAATCGTCGAAACCCAAAAATCAGAACCCTAAATCCGACTCTAGTTCTTCGACCTCAGCCACCGTTGTCGTCACCGTTGATACTTTGTTTTGGGCTTGTGGCTGACGGAGGGTTTTGGGTTTGTTAACTTTTGGGGCTGGGATGGGACGTGGAAATTGCCGGAAGAGAGGTAAGAAAAGAACACGATGGTTGCTGTGGAAGAGATGGGAGGACAGATTTGGGATAAGCAAAAATAAAACGAGTGATTTCAAAATAGCTGCTCATGATCAGCTATTTTCAAATCCGGCATGAGCAGGTTTTCAAAATCCGAAATGGTTAAAATCACTAATTTTTTATCACTTTCCAAACGAGTTAATTAGTCTAAATCCGGGATGATGGGGGAATGTGTTAAAATCCCTGATAAAAAACCCTTATCCAAACGACCCCTTTAAGTTTTTGAAATAGTTCCATTTGAGTCTTGTCAAGTTTGTTGAGAGCTTTCGGCTAAAGTATGGAGTTATGTTAGCTATTTATGTAAAATAGATGATTGCGGAAAAGAAAGAACACACGGATTTACGTGGTATCCCCGGAAACCGGGACTAATCCACGGAGAGCATGGCTCTCGAGAGAAAAATCACTAGTCTGTAGTATGATAGTTTCGGCTAGGGTTTCTTAACCCTTACACCCGCAAAACCCAGCCCTATATACCACTCAACCATAACGTGGGTATATGGGCAAATTACAAAAGGCATCACCATAAAACGACAACCATAAATACAGTCCAATACTCCCCCTCAAGCTGAAGCATGCAGGTTACAAATGCCAAGCTTGGACAACAAGGTATGGAACTGATCGGTGCCTAGTGCCTTGGTGAAGATGTCCGCTAGCTGGGAACTGGTATGAACCTTGCGAGGGGCAATTTCACCGGAAGCAACACGCTCACGAACAAAATGACAGTCCATCTCAACATGCTTGGTGCGTTCATGGAAAACAGGATTGGCAGCGATGTGAAGCGCCGCTTGATTGTCACAATGAAGCACTGTAGGCGCACGTTGTGGAACACGGAGTTCACCAAGAAGAAATCGGAGCCATAGAATCTCACTGGTAGCACTGGCCATGGCGCGATATTCGGCCTCCGCCGACGACCGGGAGACAACTCGTTGTTTCTTGGCACGCCAAGAGACGGGAGCCCCACCCAGCTGAATATAGTACCCAGTCATAGAACGACGAGTGGTCTGACAGCCTGCCCAATCTGCATCACAATAAGCAGTAAGCTCCAAAGAACCAGTAGAAGGAAAGAAGAGACCTTGACCTGGAGCCGCTTTGAGATAGCGGAGCACACGCTGAGCAGCAGCAACGTGAGCAGGACTGGGAGCATGAACAAACTGACTGAGCACATTAACCGAGTAAGCAATGTCCGGACGAGTGATAGTAAGATAAAGAAGCCGTCCAATGAGACGACGATAAGAGCGGACATCATCCGCGCGGTCCTCATTGGGGCGAGTAAGGGTATGATTCTGCTCCATGGGGAACCCACTAGGACGAGCAGCACCGAGGCCAGCATCAGCTAATATATCAAGAGTATATTTACGCTGGCAAAGGACAATACCGTCAGGAGAGCGGGCAACCTCGATGCCAAGAAAGTACTTAAGAGGCCCCAAATCCTTGATACTGAAGCGGTCATGCAGAAAGGTCTTGACACGAGTGATGGTATCAATGTCATCACCGGTTAAGACAACATCATCCACGTAAATCAAGGCGGCGACGTAGACACCGGATGCCTCATAGATGAAGAGGGACGGGTCAGCCCGAGAAACAACGAAGCCAAACTCAACCAACGCCTCAGTGAACTTCGCATACCAATTCCGAGAGGCCTGGCGGAGTCCATATAATGACTTCCGCAGACGGCAAACACGAGTATCACCATTCTGTGCAAACCCGGGAGGGACACGCATGTAGACCTCTTCGTCAAGATCACCATGGAGAAAGGCGTTGTTGACATCGAGTTGATGCAGAGACCAACCCCTCTGGGCAGCAACAGCAAGAAGTACACGCACGGTAACAAGTTTGGCCACCGGAGCAAAAGTGTCGTGAAAATCAATCCCCTCCAACTGGGTGAATCCTTTGGCAACGAGACGGGCTTTGAAGCGTTCGATAGAGCCATCGGGATAGTACTTGATTTTGTAGACCCATTTGCAGTCTATCAAACGTTTGCCAGGGGGCAGTGGTTCCAACGTCCAGGTCCCGTTGGCAACAAGGGCATCTATCTCTTTCTGCATGGCGTCACGCCATTGTTGATAACGAGCAGCTTGAGAGAAATGTCGCGGCTCAACCAACGATGTCATGGCAGCCAAAAAAGCACAGTGGTTAGCCGAAAAACGATGATAGCTAACATAATCAGAGATAGGAAACTCCACATGATGCGAAGACGTACCGGGAAGCTCAACATCATAAGATTGGAGGCGAGCAGGAGGGCGGCGAACACGAGGTGGATTACGCCGAGGCTCCGGCAGAGGTGCAGTAGAGCCACCTTCGGAAGCAGCCAGGTCAGCAAGGGGCGAGGAGGTCTCAGCCGCGGCGGGAGAGGAGTTCTCAATCCCGTCGAGGGCCTCAGTCGCATTGGGAGAGGAGGTCTCAATCCCAATAAGATCATCGGCTGGCTCAGGATCCGATGTGGGCACTGAATGCGCGAGCTCCCCCTCGCGACGTAATGCATGCATGGGAAAATCATCATGCAACCCACGAGGAACAGAAGAAGGGGCACGAACAGGAGGAGAAGTAGAAGGCGAGCTGCCAAGAAATGGGAAAAACGTCTCCAGGAAATGGACATCACGGGAAACCAGAACCTTACGCGTCGTGAGATCAAACACACGGTAACCTTTCTGCGAGCCAGGATAGCCGAGAAAAATGCCGGGACGACCACGACTAGCAAACTTGTCGAGGCTATGGTGAGTGTCCTTGGTATACGCGAGGCAGCCAAAAGTTCGAAGGTGAGAGTACGGGGGAGGCCGCCCCAACAGGCGCTCATAGGGAGTGATCATGCCAATGACCGGCGACGGCAGGCGATTGATCAAATATCCTGCAGCAAGCACACAATCGCCCCAAAACCGAACAGGAAGACCAGCATGAAACATGAGGGCTCGAGCAGTCTCTAGTAGATGACGGTGCTTACGCTCCACGACACCGTTCTGCTGCGGAGTGTCAGTACAGGAGGTCTGCAGAACGATGCCATGCTCCTCGTAATAAAGACGAAGAGAGGCAGTCTGGAATTCCAGACCATTATCGGCCTGTATACGACGAACCATCCGACCATACTGGGTGCGAACAAGCTCAAAAAATAAGCGAAGGTAGCGCTCCACATCAGATTTAAATTTCATCAAGTAAACCCAGGTTGAGCGGCTAAAATCGTCGACTATGGTCAGAAAATAACGAGACCCATCTAAGGCAGGAGTACGAGACGGACCCCAAATATCCACATGAATGAGATCAAAACAACCAGTAGTCTTGATGGAACTAGAAGGAAAGGGGGTGCGTGTCTGTTTAGCACGTAAACAAGAGTCACAAGGAGAAACATGCCGAGAATCCAAGTTACAACCCAAAGAATCCTTCAAATACATCAAGCGATCAGTAGCAGGATGGCCCAAACGACCGTGCCAGAGCTCCTCGGCCGCACCACCATGACCAGCAACCTTGCAAGCCTGCGGAGCCAAACCAGGTGAGCTGCGACGGAGATAATAGAGTCCATCTTGGAGCTTACCGACGCCAATCAGCGTCCTGGAAGGTAAGGCCTGAATCACGCAGAAGTCATGCAAAAAGGTCACGGCTACATTATGATCCTTAGTCAATCGACTCACAGAGAGAAGGTTACATCTGAAATCTGGCACATGTAACACCCTGTCGAGACTTAATAAATCAGATAAATTGACTGAACCAACCCCCTTAACCGGGATTCCTGTCCCATCAGGAATCTGAACCTTAGACATCGTAGACTGAGAATCAACCGAACTTAACCAACTGGCATCATGGACAATGTGTTCATTACAACCACTATCGATCAACCATTCATACAGTTCAGAGGAATTACCCGCCATATGCGCTGTGGGCTCAGACGCCGAGGATGAAGGTGGTGCCGAGAGAAACTGCTTCAGCTGAGCGAATTGAGCCGCGGTGAGGCCCGGGAAAGGACTATCATCAGAAGGCTCCGGCTCAACATGGGCTGCCTTGGACCGACGAGAACCAGAAGGCCGATCCTCCCCCTGCTTCGCACGAGGATGGCCCGGGGGAAAACCAATTAAGCGATAGCACGTCTCGCGTGCATGCCCAAGCTTGTTGCAATGCGAGCAGCGAAGACGTTCTCGTTCTTCTTTTGGAGGATCTGCGTCCGAGTTCGCCTGAAAAGCAGCAGTGTCCACGACGGGACGACGGTTACTAGTGAGGAGGCTATGCTGCTCCTCTGCCGAGATGGTCTGATAGGCGTCAGCGAGTGAAGGAGTGGGGCGAGTGCCGAGTATCTGCGAGCGAACCACGGAATAACCGTCATCGAGGCCGAGAAGGAAATCAAACAGTCGCTCGGACTCACGCTTCGCCTGAAATCGGGCCGCAATATTACAACTGCACCCGCCGCACGTGCATCCTTGACAAGTGCATCGCGGCGTCCCGTCGACAGCATCCTGTTCGTCCCAAAGGGAATGAAGCTTGGTATAAAAAGCTGAAACGGAGAGTTTTTCTTGACGTAACGCAGCAAGAGTGCGGCGCAACTCGTAGGCGCGCTGAGCAGAACCGCGGCTGAATCGCTTCTGAAGATCGATCCAGATGGCGCGGGAGGTAGCGGCATTACGCACACTGTTGCGTACTTCACGAGACATGGCGGTCTTCAACCAGCCCTTGACCGTAGCATCACAGCGATCCCAAGCCTCCTGGTGGCGGGCGGACCCAGCAGTAGCACGCGGTAGCGTCCCGTCCACAAAGGCGAGCTTGTTCTTCGCAATAAGAGTTTCGGTGAGATCGTTAACCCATTCACCATAGTTCAAATCAGTCAATAAATCACTGCCAAACAGTTGAGCAGGATTCTCCAAGGGATGAAGATACAGAGGAGAGCTAAGCGGGATAGCCTCGTCGCCCAGATTGGCAACCGATGTCCCGCCGCCGCCAGACACTTCGTCACCCATGATGATCTAAACAGAAAGTCTTGAATCGTATAGCTCTGATACCATGTAAAATAGATGATTGCGGAAAAGAAAGAACACACGGATTTACGTGGTATCCCCGGAAACCGGGACTAATCCACGGAGAGCATGGCTCTCGAGAGAAAAATCACTAGTCTGTAGTATGATAGTTTCGGCTAGGGTTTCTTAACCCTTACACCCGCAAAACCCAGCCCTATATACCACTCAACCATAACGTGGGTATATGGGCAAATTACAAAAGGCATCACCATAAAACGACAACCATAAATACAGTCCAATAATTTAGTTGGTAGTGAGCTGCAAACATGGGATTTGAGTTATAGGCAGCTAGTAGTGGCTTGGATAATAGCCGAGGTCGAGTACTTATGTTTTTCTACCAAGGTTCAATAATGTTTTGTCAACTTGCAAAAAGTTGAGCTCTACATTATGGTATCAAAGAACTCAAAGCAAGTTGTAACTACGTTTGTGCAATAGAGTTTGAGTGAATGCATTTGAGATATGGATTCAGGGGAACACGTGAGTTCCTTGTGAGGTATGTTTTCAACAAAAGGTGTGTGAAGATCACAAGGGTAAGTGAGTGTTGCAAAAAGAATTAATGAGTGACAGCAGCAGTAGTGCTCAGGTATGCATCCCAAAATCTTATGGATATTATGAGCACTTAGACATTGTTGATGACAAATCTACTCAGATCAAAGAAATACTAGATAGTGATCAGTCTTGGATTTAAAAAACCGCTGAAGGAGAGGAGCTCTTTGCAACCCATCTCAAGATTTTGGAGGAATTAAGGTTTAAACACTTGAAAGTTAAGAACTACTTGTTTACAGGCAATGCCCGGTGTATAACAAGAGAATTGTGGGAATTTACGAAAGAGATGGGTTGTCATAAAGGGAATTACAAGAGAATTGTGGGAATTTACGAAAGAGAAGTTCAAAGGAAGTGTCAGACTGCATAAAGCTTAATTACAGGCAATGCAGTCAAAAGTGTGATTCTATTTAAAAGCGAAAAAAGAGTAAAATCGTAAAGCGTAGAATCAAAGCGTAAAAGTGTATGTTTTTTACGCATAATGTAAAATAGCTATAAAAAATTGTTAAGTACGTCATATACTATGTAAAATATGAGTGCACAGAATTTAGATAAGTTAATAATACATGCAATTCATGTCTAAAGTAATTAGCTAATTAGTTTGAACATTTTAATCAGGCCTTGTTAGCCAACATTGGTTGGCGTATCCTTAATGAACTCCAATCCTTAATGAACCCCAATCTCTACTGGCTCAGGTTTACAAAAGAAAATATTTTCCGGTGGGGTCTTTCCTCGCTGCTACGGCTCGGTATCGCCCATCTTGGGGTTGGCAAAGTATCCTCTATGGTAGGCAGTTGTTGGAGACGGGGGCTTCGATGGCATATTGGTAATGGCGTTCTGCTTTGTTACTTCTTTCAAACTGGGTCCCACGATTACATCCCTCTACCCCGGTGTATAACCCTATAGTGTTACCGGATGGGGGAGACCCACCAGTAGCTGAGGTTATCTGTCAAGGGGAAGGGCGTTGGTCTGACTGGAAGTTAAGTCAGTGGTTTGACACGTTTACTTGTCGTGCCATCAAAGATATTCCTCTTCCGCGTCAGAATGTGGAGGATATACTAATCTGGCATGAAACGACTGAATAGATATTTACGGTTAAATCTGCTTATTACCTTGTTGTTCTACTTGATAAGCGCAAGGGTCGATGGCGGTCCATGGCTAGTTGGATGGATAGGACTAGTTGGATTCGTTTATGGGAGGCCAAAATTCCGCCGAAATTGAAGGTGTTTGTCTGGCAAATCTTTCACCGTATCCTACCAACTACTGAAGCCCTAATGGAAAAGGATGTCCCTGGGCTCCCTAGGTGCCCGGTTTGTTGGGTTGAACTCGAAACACTAGAGCACCTGTTTCTGTATTGCCCGGTGGCGCGCGCCCTTTGGGATTATGCAGGACTAGATTATCTTGGGCAAGGGTTACCTCGTCACACTTTCCCTCTCTTTTAGAAGAGGATGATGACGTTGATTCATCAACCTTCTCTGTTCATGGCAGTGGTTGCTATCTTATGGAGGATTTGGCGATCTCGTAACTGGGTTGTCTTTGAAGGCAAACAGTGTGGGATACCAGCCTTGATGCGTCAGTTTCACCAGCAATATGACGAGTGGGTAAGTTTGTCGGTGGATCGAATGCCTCAGCCTTCCATCCCTTGACTGCAACATTTGGCCCCTGTGGAGACGAATATGTTGGTTTGTATGTAGGATGAGGCTACAAGGAGTGGGTCGCATTCAGTAGGTGGGATAGTTATTATGAGCCCAACTAGGGTTGTCCTAATGGCTAATGGGATTCAAATTCCGTTGATTGTGATCCTATGGTGGTGGAATTACTAGTGCTCCGGGAGGCAATCTTATGGTGTCTGGGCCATGGAATCACAGAAGTAAGGTTTGAAGGTGATGCCAAAGTGATTATTGAAAAGATTATTCGGGCGGATACCAGTGATAATCGGGTAGGGGCTATTCTTGAAGAAATCGTGCATTTTTTTGCCCTACACTCTGGGTTTAGTATTCGGTTTGTAGGTCGGCGTAGCATTCAGTAGGTGCATTTTTTTTCCTCTCTATTTTTTCTTCCCCATTGACCGTAGTTCTCTTCCATATCAACGTGTTTATCCTCTCCTGTTTCTCCGCTTACTTCTTCTTCATACAAGTTGTAGAGAAACAAGACTTCCCTCTTCCTCTCCTCCTGGATCTCAAGTTATCTCTGTTTAGTGTCTCATCTTATCCTCCATTTTAATCCTTCTGATCAATCAATGATATTCTCCAAGCTCAGCCGCTCCTCACGCGGCTCCAGTTTCTCTAAGGTAATCTGATTAACAATTTGTTTTTCTTCTTCTTCTTCTTGGGTGTTGCGTAACATGTAAAATTGATCGTATTTTGGTTCTGGGTTTCGTTGTAGTGGCAGAATATATCGCGCGGTGGTTGCCAGAGATCAGCCATCACCGGCGTGCCGCAGGGAGGTTCGTTTGTCAATCGAATCGACGACAGAGTGGGCTTTCTGAGGAGTTACTTGACTTCTATTGGGGCTGCCAAGAGCTCCGGTGCCAAAAATTCCGTCTCCAACCTTAACGGCATCCTTGCAAACCCTAGACTTCGGCGGTTTTTCTCGAGTGAAGCTCCCAAGAATAAGAGTGAGTTACTCTTCCCATGTCTCTCTTTCATGTTGTTGTATCTGTATGTATATGATGATGGTGAAGACAAACATCGGTAGCTCTTTGGTGTTCGCATTGTCTGAATCGCTTTATGCATGTGGGAGATTGGTGTAGGAGGACACATTTTGTTTCTTATCCCGGAAGAGAAATAGGCTGGTGTTTGTATGCCTCTTCTAGGAAGATCTGCCGGTTTAAGGCTTTTGCGGATTCATTTTCCCTCCTTGAATGCAATTTTTGCTCATTGCTAGAGCCAGAAGTGTCAGGCTGTGAATGTTCTAAACATGGCGGAGCTGCAGAACCTAGAGGTGATGTGGGATGATATGTAACTGATGCCCTAACTATGCGTGTTGCTTGCAGATTATGAGAACTTCTATCCCAAAGGAAAGAAGGAAGCTCCGAAGGGGAATGGGCAGAAATCTGAGTCCAAAGGTGAGCCTTCAATTCCCAATTTGCCCCCTTTCCTCACTGGGGCTGCCAATGTTTTGTTGCACTATCTTTCTAGAGTTAAGCGTTGACTGGAAAGGTTAAGGTGGTGCTCTCCAATTCTAGAGTTGAGTTTCATTGTGACTTGACAGGGGGGAAAACCCATTAAGCTTTCAAATTTAGCAGAATAGCTGACAACTTTTGTTTCTTGTTTGGGATTTACATCTCTATGTATTGTGTGATTGTGATGTGAATTTTAGGAAAAGAACTAAGCAGTTTGGTTTGCTTGCTAGTTGATCATATAATTTCATTTTCTCTCCTAGAGAATTCAAATGAAGATGATGAATGGATCTTTCAGAAGATGTTTGCGAAACAATTCAACTTACTTAGTCCTTTATTAGTGATTGGGGTACTTCTTTCTTCTTTTCCTTTTGGCTCGAATGAGCACCAACATGTGTGTATATCATCTTTTATTTTTGCTGCACTGTTGCCTGGATACATTTGTTTTGAAGTGTTCCAGGTTCCATTAATGTTTACACTAATTTTCTCTGGCAATTTGTCAACAGATCAGTTTCCAAGAGTTCAAAAACAAGCTTCTCGAGCCTGGTTTGGTGGATCATATAGTTGTTTCCAACAAATTAGTTGCAAAAGTTTATGTGAAGAGTGCAAACTCAAACTAGACAGTTGGTGATGATGTCCAAGGTCCTACGACTGCCACTCCTATTAGAGGACGTGGAGGACAATATAAATACTACTTCAATATTGGAAGTGTGGATGCATTTGAGGAGAAGCTGGAGGAAGAGCAAGAGGCCTTGGGGATAGACCCTCACGAGTATATACCTGTTACATATGCCTCGGAGGTTGCTTGGTTCCAAGAAGTGTTGAGGTTTGCTCCAACATTATTGTTATTGGGAACCATCTTGTACATGGGAAGGAGAATGCAAGGTGGTGGGAATTTAGGGATGGCAATGGGGCGGGTTTGGGGCGGATTTTCCTAAACCATCCCCATACCCGCTATCAAATATCTATACCCATACCCGCCCCATACCCATGCGGGGGAAGGTTTTGCAAACCCATCACCATACTCGTGGGTTTCGGGTACCCATGGGTAATACCCGCCCCGTACATCCGACATTATAATACCTAAAATTTTAAATGTACATTCTCAATTATAACATTAAACGCACCTACTATCGTGAAGTTGACAAAAAGACTATCATTCTTTATACGATTCAAAACATCTTATCCTAAATAATCCATTAATCCATAAGATAGAGTACAATATAATGTAATACAAATCATTCTTCTATGACTCTGATACATCTACTAACTAATAACAAACTAACATAATCTAGTAAACACGAGGGTAAAAGTGAAAGAGTGAAGGGAGAGTTGACGAAAAGGAATTATGTTTTGATTTGGGTGGTCACTCAATTGCATTTCTAATATTTATTTTCTTGAGGTACCCTCACTATCATTCATATATCACAATTTTATTCATATATTTGTTATATGTGAAGAAATGTTCTTAGTGGGGCGGGTATGGGTATGGGTATGGGGCGAGGGAGGCTAAAACCATACCCGCCCCATACCCATCAAACGTTTTGCGGGTTTTACCCATATCCGCCCCATACCCAGTCAATGCGGGGATTCCCCGCGTTGACTGGGTCGGGGGCGGTCGGATACCCGCGGCCATGGGTTTGATTGCCATCCCTAGGTGGGATAGGCCTTGGTGGTGGTGGTGGTGGAAAAGGTGCTCGTGGCAAATTCAACATAGGGAAAGCTCACATCACCAAAGTGGATAAAAATTCTAAGAATAAGGTATGTTACTTTCATTGTTAACAATGACCACTTTTTGCTTTTCCATCTAAAAGAATATTGAGGATGAAGATGTTTTATGAGTATTATTCACTTAAGTTGTCTACTTCTTCCTTGTGCATCCTTCTTTATTTTGATATAGTGAGCTATTACAGGTCTATTTCAAAGATGTGTTGGTTGTGATGAGGCTAAGCAAGAAAATATGGAATTTGTGCATTTCCTTCAGAATCCTTAAAAGTATGAAGAGTTAGGACTTAGGAGCAAAGATTCCAAAAGGTGCTCTTCTAGTTGGACCTGTGACGGCCTTACTCTTGGTCGTGCGGCCCTAGCTCTCAATTCCGTTAGAGATGCTAGGCAGCCTTCTCACAATCTCTCAAACTCACTTAACTCACAAGAAGAAGACACAAGAAGATGGGAGAAACTCTATAGTTGTATTGCTCACAAAAATGATGGATGAGTTACAAGGCATCAATGCCCCTCATAATGGTCCCTCCCCATTACTACACCCTATTAAGTTTTCCCCATAATGCACATCATTATACCACCTCATAATGTGGCTCTTTATGTGCACCATTAAACTCATATTCAAGATGGGGAATCCTAGGAGCATCCTATGCTACTAGGTCTTCCATAATGCCACACGTGCTTGACTTGGTCATGATCCGCCACATCACTCGCCATGTCGCCCGCCACGCGTGACATTCTCCCCCACCTATTCTCGTGACGCCCTCATCGCATCCTTGCTACAAAATGCCTCCACCGACCTCGAGCTGCCTCTCTCGATTCTTGAGCCTCATTGGTGACATTCTCCTCCACTCAATCCACGATGCCCTCGTCGTGGCTCTTTGGCAGACGCCTCCCTTGCCTTAGCTTCATTGCTTGCAAGGTGTCGTTGCACCTTCCTCCAAACCAAGGATGGCCCTGGCTCGCTCTCGAGTCTTGTGCTCCCATGATGTTGCGCACTCCTCCGCGGTCTTCTCCGTCGCGTTTTCGAGTGTCTCACCATCTCGATCATGGTGGCCTTTCCTTGCTTCTCCTGGCAAGTCCAAGATGACCCATCCTCGTCTCTAATGGCTCCACAGTGTTGTGCACTCCTTCTCATCCTTATCCAACGAGTCTTCGAGTGAGCCGCTGCCTCCACCATCGTTGCCACTTCTCGCTGTCCTTGCCTTGCCAAACACCTCTTGTTTAGCTCGAGTTGCTCTCTTGTCATGGGAACCGATCTTGCTCCGCCATTGATGCAGAATCTATTGGCGTAGAGGATCGGGAAAGCTTTATCACGCACCATGAACTCCATGCCGATGATGACCGGATAGTCATCCAACGACACAACCTCAAAGTCGGCCACCCCGGTCCATCCTCCAAGCTTGAGTGGCACCTGGCACGCTACTCCATGAGTTCTTGTGGCCCTTGAGTTGGTAGCCTTCATCCACCCTCTTCGCTTCTTCTCGTACGTGATGCCTAGCCTCTGCGCTTCATCTACGTCGAGAAGGTTGCAGCTTGCCCCGGTATCAACCAAGGCTTTTATCTTCCTTTGGTTGAGCTTTGCCTCTACGAAGCACTGGCCGTGTTGCTTGGGATGGGGAGGCTCTTCCGTCCGCTTGATGGCACTCAATCTCTTCATGCAACCCATCTTCGCGACATGGGGCTCCACTCTTGGAGCCGCCTCCGCTTCCTCTTCCGAGCTCGAGCACTCTGCTAGTACGGCCTTCAATGCCGACAACTTGTGCTTTCTTGGGCAATCTCTCACACGATGCGGACCATCACAAAGAAAGCAAGTAAGGGGTTTCTCAACCTTATGACTACCTCCTTGGTCCAGTCTACCACGCCTTCGCGTGTCTCTGTCATAGTCGCGTCCACCTTTATTGCCTCCAAACTCCACACGTTCCTCCGGCTCGTGGTACTCGACTAGGGACTCGGCAATCGCCATTGCCTCGGCAAGACTTTGCATGCCTCGCCGTTGTAGCTCCAACTTTGCCCATGGTTTGAGGCCGTCAAGGAAGGTGAACATGGCCTCCTTGTCGGTGTAGTCGGGGATCTCGAGCAACAATTCAGAAAACTCCTTCACATACCCTCGAATCTCTCCTTCGTGAGCAAGCCTCCTTAGTCTCGACCGGGCTTCAAACTCAACATTCTCTGGGTAGAATTTCCTCTTGATCTCCCTCTTGAAGTCATCCCATGACTCCATCACGCTCGTCCCTTTATTGATATCGCCATGGGTCCTTCTCCACCACAGCATAGTAACATCACTCAAGTAAAGAGGTGCAGTTTTTACCTTGGTATTCTCATCTCGAATACCCGAAGCTTCAAAGTATTGCTCCAAGCTCCATAGGAAGTTCTCTAACTCCCTTGCATTCCTCGACCCTTGAAAGCTCTTTGGTCTTGGAATCTCCATGGTTGAGGTAGGTTGTGCCATGGCAGGTCCGTTAGCCATGGCCCTCTTCACAAGCGTCACCTCGCTTTTGAGCTCCGCAACCTCCTCTTTCAAGACGGTCACCTCTGCAGAAACCGCCTCCTTCATTACCTCAATGGCATCGTTCATGGCGGTGGAGATGGTGTCTTTGATGAGGACCATGAGATGGTGTCTTTGATGAGGACCATGGTGTCTTTGGGTGAAGTTAGCTCCCAAATCCTCCATGACGGTGACATCTTCGGAAAGCTTCGCCTCCATCCTCGAGACACGCCTCTCTAGAGACTTGAGAGGATCACGAGTGCTCGATGTACCTTTTGACCTTGCGCCCGGGGTGGGATCTCTTCCACGTTCTTCTTAGCATTGTCATGAACTTCTGATCCAACCATCTTTGGTGAGGTTCTCGCTCTTTCTTATCTTCCTTCTTGGGGAGTGAGGACACCGGTTCTTCTTTCAGAACCAGGCTCTGATACCAACTGTCACGACCTTACTCTTGGTCGTGCGGCCCTAGCTCTCAATTCCGTTAGAGATGCTAGGCAGCCTTCTCACAATCTCTCAAACTCACTCAACTCACAAGAAGAAGACACAAGAAGATGGGAGAAACTCTATAGTTGTATTGCTCACAAAAATGATGGATGAGTTACAAGTGAGGGAGATGGCTCCTTATATAGGCCTCTCCTCATACAAGGCATCAATGCCCCTCATAATGGTCCCTCCCCATTAGTACACCCTATTAAGTTTCCCCCATAATGCACACAATTATACCACCTCATAATGTGGCTCTTTATGTGCACCATTAAGCTCATATTCAAGATGGGGAATCCTAGGAGCATCCTATGCTACTAGGTCTTCCATTAAGCCACACGTGCTTGACTTGGTCATGATTCGCCACATCACTCGCCATGTCGCCCACCACACGTGACATCCTCCCCCACCTATTCTCGCGACGCCCTCGTCGCGTCCTTGCTACGAAATGCCTCCACCGACCTCGAGCAGCCTCTCTCGACTCTTGAGCCTCGTTGGTGACAGACCTCCTGGGACTGGGAAGACCCTTATAGCCAAGGCAACTGCTGGGGAATATGGCGTGCCATTTTTATCCATTTCAGGCTCTGATTTCATGGAGATGTTTGTTGATGTTGGTCCCTCTAGAGTGAGGAATTTGTTTCAAGAAGCGAGACAGTGCGCTCCAAGTATTGTATTCATCGATGAAATTAATGCGATTGGCAGAGCAAGAGGACGTGGCGACTTCAGTGGTGGCAATGATGAAAGGGAAAGTACCCTTAATCAATTGTTGGTAGAAATGGATGGCTTCGGTACTACAGCTGGAGTGGTAGTGCTTGCTGGTACTAACAGACCAGACATACTAGACAAAGCTCTTATGAGGCCCGAAAGATTTGACCAACAAATCTCTATTGACAAGCCAGATATAAGAGGCCGTGAATAAATATTCTAGATCTATTTGAAGAAACTGAAGCTTGATCAGGAACCATCATATTACTCTGAAAGGCTTGCTGCCCTCACTCCGGGATTTGCTGGAGTAGATATTGCAAATGTTTGTAATGAAGCTGCGCTGATTGCTGCAAGGAAGGAACAAAATGTAATCAATATGGAACACTTTGAGTCCGCAATAGACAGAGTAATTGGTGGTTTGGAGAAGAATACTAAATTTTATGTGCTTTGGAATTTCCTAATTTTATTGGTCAAATTGTTGCTTGATATTCACTTTCCTTTTCTTATTGAAAGGAGGATTGAAACTTACATTTCTTTCTTCCTTTGGGCTATCGGGTAATAAGTAAGCTGGAATGTCGAACTGTTTCTTATCATGAGTCGGGTCATGCTGTAACCGGCTGATTCTTGGAGCATGCAGAGCCACTCTTGAAAGTGACGATTGTTCCTCGTGGTACAGCTGTACTTGGGTTTGCTCAATATGTTCTTAATGAGAACCTTCTAATGACCAATGAGCAACTTTTTGATATCACTTGTATGACCCTTGGTGGTCGAGCAGCTGAACAGGTAACTTGCAGTCTCATTCGTATTTTGAAATATCAGCATAAGCCAGATCTGTTTTTTTGTAATCTTTAGGAAGTGAGATTATGGGATGCTTGTGGACACCATAAATGATAGGGAGGAAAATCAATCTTGAACTCCATACCATTGACTTTTATTCTTTCGACTCTCTCGTGTCATATTCATATGTGAAAGTCCAGTTATCTTTGGACAACGTATGGAATAGATGAAAATGGGATACAATATGGGTGTGTTGTTTCTAAACATAAACTTCTAGTATAAATGAGTGTATTTGGTCGGGTTAATGAGGAAATCAATTAGATGGAATATGATATATTACTAATTTATGGGATGGTAGATAAGGGACCGGTTATTGTAACAACACCCATTGTGTTGTTATTGTAACAACACTAGTCCCCAACCAATAGGAAGCTAGGATTGTGATGACTTTTTATTAAATGAGTTGACCTAGTGTAAAATCAAAGCAGGGGTATAATTGTCATTAAGAAAAATCTATTTAAATAAAAAAATATATAAAAAAAAAATATAAAAAAATAAAAAAATATTTTTTTTATTTTCTGTCCAAAAATTTGGTCGTCGGAATTCTGCCACCGGTCGCCGGAAAATGGTCGCCGGTCACCGGAATATACTTTTTGTCCCCGGAATATGCTATTTTGTGGCCGGAATATGCTTACCGGAGTCGGAATATGCTTACCGGCGTCGGAATATGCTTACCGGCGTCGGAATCTAGTCACCGGGGCCGGAATATGCCTATCGGCGTCAGAATCTGCTCACTGACGGTCACCGGAGTTCGGTCAACGAACTTCGTTGACCGGTCAACGGTCAACGACCACCGGATGTTATGGTCTGCATTGTGAGATTTATGGTTTGGTTTCTCATATTTTTTTATGCCTTTTATGGTTTGTTTTATTGTGTTTATGGTTTGCATTGAGAAGTTTCTGGTTTGTTTTCAAAAACTTTGTGGTTTGCATTGTGAGGTTTCTGGTTTGTTTTAATATATTTGTGGTTTGCATTAGGACGTTTATGGTTTGCTTTTTTGGTTTGCGTTAACGTGTTTGTGGTTTGCATTAGGAGGTTTCAGGTGTGCTTTCGCAAATGTTGTGGTTTGCTTTGTGAGGTTTGTGGTTTGTTTTAGGAGATTTGTGGTATGCATTAGGAGGTTTTTGGTTTGCATTACGAAGTTTCTGGTGTGCTTTCGAAACTTTTGTGGTTTGGTTTGCGAGGTTTCTGGTTTGTTTTGATATATTTGTGGTGTACATTAGGACGTTTTTGGTTTGTTTTACCGTGTTTGTGGTTTGTATTAGGGGGTTTCTGGTGTGCTTTAGAAATATTTCTGGTTTGTTTTACCGTGTTTCTGGTATGTTTTAGACAATTTATAGTATGCATTAGGAGGTTTCTAGTATGCTTTCGAGATAATTGTGGTATATTTTGTGAGGTTTGTTATTCTATCCGACGTTCCTACTAGATGAATGGAATTATTATTTACAGGACAAATATTATTTACAGGACATAATGTCCCAACAAATTGACATTTGAGGGATGAGTTTGATAATAGGTATGGAATTGGAGCACCAAAGGTGCAATTTGATCATATAGGAAAGAGCGAGGGAATAGGGGAGGGAGAAAGAGGACAAAAGTGGAAGACTGGAAGAGGTGTTTAAGTTGGGGAGTAAAAGCGACGCATTCTTCTTCTTCTTTCACTGAGCAGCCGCCGCGGTGGCGGAGATCTAAGGATTTTTCCACCGATTTCGACCGGTTCGTGAAGCCCAGATGCAAAAAGGGAACGACATCGGAGAGATTGAAGGTCCATTGCCTGTTTGGCGAATTGCGGGACCCGATTTTCCCCAACTGCTTGGTCGGCGGCCGCACGTAGACCGCTGGCGATTCGCCTCAGATCTGGCGGCGGGAAATTGAGCACCGCCATGCTCCAGCACAGGGCGAATACCAGGACGGCTTCCTCGGCGTTGTCGAACGTGCTCAGTCACACCCGGTCGTCGTTCCTCGTGGAGTCCCTGATCTCTGCCGCGTACTTCCCCCACGGCCTCTTCCTCACCCCTTAACTGCAGGCCTCAATGCAAGCTGAACGATGCTGAATCCACGTTGCTTCAATCGCATCGCGACTCCGATCTAAAATTTCAGATCTTGCTCTGTCGCCAAAATCTCCATTAGTGGCTTCAAGAAGGTGGAGGAGGGAGGCTAGGAGATTTGAGATGATATGACGGTGGAGGCCTAAAAGCATATTGAATGGCTTATGGGATCCATGCTACCGTCGGAGCCGATCTTGTCGGTGGCGGAGGAGAGAGTACGGGAGGGAAGCAGCCGACGGGGATACGGGAGGAGAAGGAGATCGAGAGACGGAGATAGGGAAGCTGGGGATTGCAAATTTATTTATTAATTTTAATTTGTTATATTTTTGTAGTTTACCCTTTTTACCCCAGTTGTTACGATAACAACACCAAGGGTGTTGTTATTGTATCCGGGCCCGGTAGATAATTCTAAATAAATGAGTTGATTATCAGAATTGACTAATTGTTTATTGTAGCTTTTCAGTTTTTAACTAAAAAAGTTGCTTAGTTTTTGTCAAATCACACATACCTTTAACAGGAATTCTTATCTTTTGCATTGCTTGAAGGTTTCACAGATGTGCTTGTTAACGATCTCTTCACTCTGTTATGTAGGTACTGTTGGGGAAAATCTCAACAGGAGCGCAAAATGACTTGGAGGAAGTGATAAAGATGACTTATGCCCAAGTAGCTGTCTATGGTTTCAGCGACAAGGTGGGACTTCTGTCTTTCCCACAAAGAGAGGAATCATATGAGATGAGCAAGACGGGAGCCATAATCGATGTGGAAGTACGAGAATGGGTGGGCAAGGCTTATGAGCATACTTTGCAAATTGTGGAAGAGCGCAAGGAGAAAATTGCTGAGATCGCGGAGATGTTGCTGGCCAAAGAAGTTCTCCACCAGGAGGACTTGCTTCGGGTCCTAGGGGAGAGGCCTTTCAAGGCGAGCGAGGCCACCAACTACGATAAATTCAAGGAAGGGTTTAAACACGAAGAGAAGAAGGCCGAGACCACCACATCGAGTGTGGAGGAGGAAGATGATACTCTACCCATATAGGTCGTACTTGCTTGAAGCTTTTAACGACACTATCAGTATGTTTATGTACATCTCAACTTATTGGTTTTAATGCATTGAGCCATCTCTTTGTGAAACCCCTCCTCCCCCAGAAAACTTGTAAAATTGGCTAAGTTAGCCACAACCTTGTTTGTGATGGACCTCTCACTAGATTTCTGAAATATTAAGTTGTGTTACCCGTGTAAATTTTCGTTGAGAAGGGTAGGACAAGGGGAAAAAGTGGAGCCATAATTTGATGGGTGATTTATGCCTTTTGGCTTTGTAAGGAATGTATTTCAGTGTTGGGCTAATGAGAAACTCTGTTTTATAAGGACGAAGTGCAATGCCTAGTTGTTTCATGGGCATGAAATTGAAGGTAATGGATGTTCAACTATGGAGTTTGTTTGAGGGATGTTGCACAATCTCACAACACTTGGTATTATAAATCTCTCATATCGGAAGGGATCCTCGGATGAGAGATTTAGCAGCATGACTTGTGTATTATATTGCAAAGGTGGTGGCAAGTCTAAGGAACTGATCCCTCCTGACTGCATTAATTAACTAAAGCAAGGCAATGGTAATGAGAAAAAGCATGCAGTGGCAGATTCAGAAAATTGGCAATGGTGTCTTTTTGTACCATAATAGAAAAGTCAACAACATAATACTAAGATGTGTACAATAACATGATAATAGTTTGACGTACACCACTTATAACAAATTGCTTTAAGATTTCGTATTTTGAAAACATTGTAGAATATGTTCCTTGGCCAAACTATTACACAAATCTACTTCAATATATGTCACCACCATATCGTTCAGCCACTCATCATTCATCTGATTGTGAAGATCGTTCTTTCATTAGTGAAATCATCTCTCATTGTTGCAACAAGGAGAATAATTGTCAACTTGAGAAGCAAATCAGCAAATAAATACACTTGTGGTTATTTGTTTCCACTTTTTGTTTTCTAACTCATTAACCCCGTAAAAGTCGTTGAATCTGTTATCAAATGGTAAATCACAAATATATGAATTCAATTGATGATCAATAAATTTCATAAGATATATTTATTAGAATTTTTAATTTTAGATATGGATCATTGTCTTCAATATAAATGTATTCATAACGGAATCATACAATCTAACTAGTGAAAATGGTAAGAGAGTTGATTATGGATTGACTGCCCCTTTTATTTTTCTTTCCTAAATGAATTTGAAGAATTTATCTTTTTTTCATTTCCTCCTTCTAGAGTTTTTCTTTTTCCTCGATGACCATTGACTATCATTATGTCCTTAATATTTCCTTCTAGAATGTTCTTTGGAATTGGAAAGTAATCTGGTCTATGTTTTCAGTCCTTAAAATTTATATTATTACTATCTTAATCCTTCACAGTGGATGCTAAAATTAAGAAATGATACTTCAGGGCCCTTCTGGATAGAAAAGAATATATCCCGATAAAAAATGGGACCTTTAAGAGGTATCCCAACTTTTTTTTATTGGGTCGGATACTATGCCTACCTCGAAAGGGTCGGGCTTTTTACACCCCTTTCTCATTGGTCAATTTTTTATCAATCATTTAGCAAATATTAATGGAAGTAGACATAATAAATAACACAATAATGACATTTTCTATTAATAAAAATTTCTTTATTAATACAAAAACCATCCTCTCTAACCTTAGCTGTCTCTCCTCTCCCCCTCTCATTCTTTCGTCGCCGTCACCACCATCCCTCCTGTCGTCATTGACACGCCAAAACACAACACCAAACTGCGACCAAGTGTAATCGCAGTCCGGGAATGCAGTAACAGGCCAGTTTAATTATCAACCCGGGGTCTAGATCTACTGCTTACTCCGTGATTCTCTATTATCTAGCAAACTAATTCGAGTGATTGTTGTTTAAAGCAAAAGCAGTAAGAAAGCAGGAAATGGTTCGGTTTTCAAAAGCAGGTAAGAGTCACTCGGGATTGAGTCCCCCTAGCCCCTTAGTTAGGTTCAATTGCAATTCCCTGGGTTGATTTACTGTTGATTAGACTGCGGAAGATCCGACAGTAGCTTGGAATCTCTTAAGCTGACCAAGCCCTCTCAGTCTAACTACCCGGCAGACGACTAGTCTTCACCGGGATAGAAAGCTGAGGCTGTGAACACAGAACTCCACTACTGGCGTCAAGAACACCAGTACAAAGCAGTAAACTGGCTAACTCTCGTATAGCCAATCTCCTACTATCGAATGAAGAGGCTCTAACAACCTAATCAGATTCTATCTATCTCAGGTTGAAGCAGAAATTGAGACAAGCTGATCAGACTCAAATCAATTCATGAAACATGCATCATTCGATTAAAATCAAACAGTAATATCATCCCAAGTCATTACAATCAAATCCCTAACACAAGGAACTAGGGTTCTTCATACCCAAGTGAGAGAAGGGTTCTACTCCATAGAGAGAGAAGAGAAAACAAGAATCGGATTAGTCATACTCATAACGATGAGGATAATCTGCTCCGGGACGATGATGTTCACTCCTATGACGATCTCCAGGCTCGATTCGATGAAATCCAGCTCCAAGACAGCTTCTAGGATGAGTTCTTCGCACTTTCTCTCTCTAGGGCTCTGTTTTTGCTCTCAAAACGCGATTCCCCCACTTTTGGCTCGGATTAGGCATTAAAACCGGTTTCCCCGAGGTGCACGGGCAGGTGCACGGCCGTGCACCACACCATTCTGGCCGTGCACCCTCAAAACGCCCCGTTTCATTTATTTGGAGCTCAGCCTTCTTGCACGGCCAGGCGCACGGCCGTGCAAGCCTGGATTGTGCCCGTGCACGGCCTCGGCGTGAGGCGCACGGCCAAATGGCTCATGTGCACGGCCGTGCAGCCTCCTGGTCTGCCCGTGCACTCCTCCCAAAAGCTCGCCCTTCGTCCGTTCTTCGTCCAATCGACCCCAGACTCGCTCCTAAGCCTTCATTCACGTACTAGGACCTGAAATAACACAACCAAGCACAACCTAGCGTGAAATCGGCCTAAAACACGAGAATCAACACCTCAAACAGTGTATGTATGAGGGTAAAAACATGTGTAAATGACGGTCTATCAAACTCCCCCACACTTAACCGTTTGCTTGTCCCCAAGCAAACCAAGTCAGACACTAGGTAAGCTTACATATTTCAATCAACCAACATTGGGGACAAGTCATAAAGGCACAAAACACGTGAATCGCACTGGTTTTCAAACATCAATACATGCACAACCTCAATAACAACCTGGACAACCACCACAAAGGACATTCGAGTGCAGCAAATCGAGTAAAGGAAGAGTCTCCCTCCTGTTCACTGGCCAACCTAGACTTGATTCAACCACTTACTCAAAACAGTCAACTCATGCATCCAACTCAAAACATCAGAATAGAGACCGAGCAATCTAGGTCCTCACCGGGGTACAAGAGCATATAGAAAATGAAAATGAATCACTCACTCTCGACCAGTGGGGTCAGGACAATTTGATGCGAAAGATGCGCATGCTATTTCTCTCAATCCTATCATCTCTTCACCATGATGGCAGCCTCTAAATGCTAGAGTTCACATATGGGGTGTCACCACTAACTAATCAGGAGGTCTTAGACACAGGTTCAAATGACTGGCTAGGGTCTTGGACATGGGGAAAAGGCCTTTTAGGTGGTGGAAGTATTCATAGCAAAAGGTTCCACATTTTCCAAACACACAAACACAGTCAACAACCCGGTATTTTCTTTCTGCTATCCTGCATTACTCAATATCTTAAGAGCACAAGAGCGAAGGAGGCATAAACATCAGCATTTCCAAGCCAGACTGCTAAGAAACACTACTTACTGGGCATTATTCAGATTTTTAGTAGTGGCTCTCTTTTGCTTTCAATTTTTCTTTGTTTTTCTTTTATTTTTCTTTTCATTTCTTAAGAGAGCCACCACTTCTGCACATTTCAAACACATGCCCAACATTTAAGCACTGCCTCCAACACTCACATAGACTTAAGCAGAAACAGCAGAGAATATGTAAAAACCACTCTGTGGAACCTTCTAAAAGATGCGACAAGGGTGATTTTTTTCATTATAGACCAAAAGAAAGGATAACACACGGCTCAAAGGGGCTGACTAGGGGATATGACACATCAGGACAGTCAGTTTTGGGCGTGGGCTAATCCTATGCCCCCATCATCTTAGCTAGTGACAACGTGAATGCTACACATCATGGAAGAGGGATCTATCGCACAAGAAAGAAACGAGCAGGCTCAAATCTCACATGGCTACCTATATGCTCTATCTCAAATTCTGATACCCTGAACTAGATGCATAAACGACTGTCAAGAACAAGTAATCAGATCAAGTCAGATCAAGTCACAGTTGGCAAGCAAACAGTTGAAAAACTGAACCCCTACATCGCTCTACTGCACATCTCAGTCCTCATCATAGGTTGTCCTAGTCGCAAACAAGTTGTCATGCATTAATCCGAAAACCAATCAATTCAGCCATCAAAACACAGTGCCAATATGATCAAACAGCAGTACTTGGAGCCCTCAAATCGTAAGATTCGGACAGTGGACTAGGCTCCAAGCACCATCTAAAATATTCCAACCGATACAGAACATCCCCCCACACTTAAGCACGACATTGCCCTCAATGGAGTAGAGGGAAAGATAAGGGGGAACGATGTTACCGGGTAAGAACACTGCTGGGGGGACTGGAAGTGGACCAGTCAGCGAGAAGCGAACGGGGAAGTGGTCAATACTGCACAAATCGAACATCAGAAACACTAGCACACTGGTGTTAGGGATAAGTGTTAGCCCAGACGGCTACATCAAAACACAAATGAAAAACCAAAAACAAAAAAAAACAACCGACACTAAGTCCAAGCTCCGCACACATGGAGCAAACACTCAAAAGTCTTTAAAAAAAACAAAAACAAACACACTGAGACGGGCAACGAGTACAGCCTACTCGTCGCCAAGATCGGTGAAGTCGATGTCATCCATGAATGCATCATCACCGGCAGCGCCAGCCGCGCCGTCATGTGGAGGGGAGTCATCCCAGGGAGTCCTCCAGACCGGTGGATCGCCCGGAACCAGCTGAAGCAGGTGCTGCTGAAC